TAAAAAGTGGTATCAATCACAAGTAAACTCTTTCAGAAGACAGAGAATGAGAAAACATTCCTAACTCATTTTACAAAGCCAATATTACTGATACCAAATCTAAAAACAATATAAAAGAAAACCACAAATACCCCTCATGACACAGACACAAAAATTGTCCTAAAAATATTAGTAAAATAAAAATAAAAAGGATAATATAGCATGATCAAATGGGGTTTATTCTTGAAAGGAAAGGTTGATTCAAAAATCAATCAACTTACAAAATAGTCACAGGGATATAAAGTACAGCATAGGGAATATAGTCAATAATATTGTAAGAATTATGTATGATGCCAGGTGGGTACTGAAAATATCAGAGGGAACACTTTGTAAAGTATATGATTGACTAACCACTATGCTGTACACCTGAAACTAATATAAAATAATATTAAATGTAAACTATAATTTAAAAATGAAATTTAAAACAACAAAAATTTTTTTTAAATCAACCTAAATGATCACTGCTTTAACAGAATGGAGAAAACACAGGATCATCTCAATAGAACAGACATCTGACAAAATGCAACACCCTCTCATGATAAAAACTCTCAGTAAGCAAGGAACATAAGAAAACTTCCTCAACATTATAAAGACCACATATAAAAAAAAATCATTGGCAGCAACATACTTAATAGTGAAACACTCAACATCTTCCCACTAAGATTGGGAACAAACAAACAAGGACATCTGTCCTTACCACTTTTATCCAATGTTATACTGGAGGGTTACCCAATGCAATAAGGCAAGAAAAATACTTAAAAAGCATGCACGCTGGAAAGAAAGAAGTAAAATTGTCTTTATTCACAGAAGACACGATCATCTATGTAAAAAGTGCTAAGGCATCTACTTAACAAAAATCAATTGCTGTGCATTAATAGCAATCAACAATTGGAAAACGAAATTTTAAAAACAATACGCACAGCTCACAAAATATAAAATAGTAACAAATAAATATAACAAAATATGCTATACACCAAAAACTAAAAAACATTGTTTTAAAAATCTTTAAAACTTGGGATAATAAAATAATAAACCTTACCCATGAACTAGATAAATCAATATTTTTAAGATGTCATTTACCCTCACATTGTTCTGTTCATTCAATGCAACCTCAATAAAAATCCAGTAGACTTTTTGTATAAAATGACAAACTTATTTTAAAAACTTAGGGGGAAATGCTAAGGACTTAGATACCCAAAAGAAATTCTAAAGAGAATAACAAAGTTGAAAGATTTACTATACCAGATTTGAAGACTTAGAGTAATCAAGACAGTATGGTATTGACATAAGGATAGATATAATTGTCAGAGGATGAATACAGACTCTAGAAATAGATGTACACATTTACGGGCAACTGGTTTTCAAGAAAGAGTCTAAAACCACTCAATAGTGAAGAGATATCTTTTCTACAAATAATGCTATAACAATAGGATATCTGTATGGAAAAAAATCTCAAACCCTACCCCTTATCTGAGCCACTGTATAATGTGAATACTTTTCCTATTCTGTATAATTGTTTTTTCAAATATATCTTTATTGATTTCAGAGAGAGGAAGGGAGAGGGAGGCAGAGATAGAAACATCAATGATGAGAGAGTCTGTGTTGTCTGATTATATTTCCATGTGTTTATTACTAATTCAACCATCAAATGCCCTCCACTGGCTGAAATGGTCTCACAAGGCATTTCTTTTTTAAAACACCAAGTATTCTTTATCTTGGGCACAGCTGTCATCTTTTCCCATTATTCCAAAAATCCCATTGCTTCTCTCCTGTGTCTGATCACCTCTTTCCTTTATCCCATGTATACTGTTCTCTCTTCTTCATCCCTTCACGTTGGTGGGACATATCCTCCAGCAGATTCCCCAGAGAGAGTGCATGAAAGGTAAAAAAAAAATTTGAGACCTTTCAGGTCTGAAAATATCTTTTTGTGTACCTTTTTCACACACTTAATTAACAACTGAGCAGATATGGAGTTCTAAGATAAAAATAACTTTCCTTCAGAAGTGTCTTTTAGCTTTAAATTTTGCTTTTGAGAAGTCTGAAATAATTCTGATTCCTAATCTTTTATATGTGACCTTTTTTTAACTTTGGAAGCTTGTAGAGTTTATCTTCAATATTCTGATATTTAAAAATAAAAAAGTTTGTGCCTGGCACTTGATGGAACTTCTTAATCTGGAAAAATGTCTTTTAGTCCTAGGAATATTCTTCAATCATATTTTTGACGACAATTTTCCTTCTGTATCATTATGGTCTCTTTCTAGAACACAAACTTATTTGGTATTTGACCTCTTAGATTGATCCTCAAATAAAGCTATGTCTTCTCTCAAATATTCTATCTCCATTGTCTTTTTGCACTAATTTGCTCTTGAAATGTGTACATCCTGTTCTTCAGTCCATCTATAAAACTGTTCATTTTCAAGATCTCTAATATGCTCTTTTTAAAAAATGTTCTTTCTACATGAATATGTCATTCTCTCTTACCTCTTTGAGGAGTACCAATGACACCTTTTAAAGTTTTTTTCTGTTTGCTTATTCCTGTTAAGTTCTTCCACTTAACTGATTTTTGTGCTTCTCTTTAATAATTTGGTTTTCCTAAAACATCTGCTGATTGTTTGCTATACATGTTTACATATAAGAAATCTGTCAACCAGTTTATAAATGCTATTTCTGTTTAGTGCAAGATGCTCTCTTATAACTATAGAGAGGAGAAATTGCTGGGCAGGGTATGTCAGCTCATCTTCTGAGCACAGGTGGTCCAAGTTCCTCCCGGGTATTTCTATCCACCTTAAGGCTCTGACCTAAATTTATAATCAATGTTCCAGGTAGAGAGCATCTGTCCCTGCTATGTGGTATAAAAGTTGGGCTGTACCCATATGCTGCTCCAATGCCATGCTCAAACAACTACACTGATATTTTTCCTAGGACCTTGAAGAGTCATTATTCTTTACTTTTTTTTCAGCAGTTTCTCCTGAGTATGTTTTTTGAGCTAATGCTTCCTTTTTTTTTTTAAATCTTCACCCGAGGATATATATATATATTTTTTAAATATATCTTTATTGATTTCAGAGAGAGGAAAGGAGAGGGAGAGAGAGAGAGAGAGAAACATCAATGATGAGAGAGTCATTGATCGGCTGCAGCCTGCAACCCGGGCATGTGCCCCAACCGGGAATCGAACCCTGATTGCTTGGATCCTAGGTCGACACTCAACCGCTGAGCCACACCCAGCTGGGCCGAGGATATTTTTCCATTGCTTTTCAGAGACAGTGGAAGGGAGAGAGAGAGACGCATTGATTGGTTGCCTCCTGCACGTGGCTCAGGGGCTGGAGCCTGCAACCGAGGTATGTGCCCTTGGCGGGAATCAAACCCGGAACCCTTCAGTCCAGGGGCCGATGCTCTAACCACTAAGCCAAACTAGCTAGGACAAGCTAATGCTTCTTTATTGAGATTGATCCCAATGGCCTTCTGTCTTTCATATTCCTCACGCTTTCTGGTCCTCCCAGAAAGGCACCACTTATTGATAAGCAGCTTTGCTGAAGTTAGTTTTGTTTTAATCTCTAATTTTTTTTGTATTTTTTTTCCTCCACTTTTAAAGGATTTGAGGTGATTCTAGGTAATCCCTTAAAAACGAAATGAATATCTTTACAATTTCCCCAAATAACTAATTTTTGTCAATTGAACAATTGGTCTTTTTATTAAGACTCTACTTCGTAACACTACAAAGGTGAGAGAGAGAGAGAGAGAGAGAGAGAGAGAGAGAGAGAGAGAGAGAGAAACTTCATGAAGTCAATCACATTCAGAAGCCTTAGAGTCTTGGGCTATCTGGAAAGTTACCACTTTCAATAAAACAGTTCAATATCATTATCTTCTTATGAAATGACCAGGAACCAATTTTTAAAGTATGACGGAATGTTTCAAAAATCCATTACCACAAATTTATTATAGATTTTAACCAAAGCTAATGTTAAGATTTTCATTTACCTTTCCATTCACATTCTTAAAGTATATTAACTATATAAAAAAATAGTTATATGCATTAAATATACATTATAAATACCTATTACATGTTATATGTACTATATATATAAAAACTAATATTAACACTTAAGTAGATCTGTTTTTCATTCATGTAATGTGCATTACATGCCCATTATACTTTTTAAAAAACTAGACAATGTACTGCTCTCTGAAATAAAATTCCTCTGGTAAGGAAATTGAAAAATAAAAATTTTAAAAATAATCTAGGTATCTAAAACACATTTCTGCTTTCTCAAAATCTGTTAGTAATAAACATAAGAGCTCTTTCAAATGGGTAAATAGAAAAAAAGGTTTAAATCATATAGGCATTAAGGAGAAGGCAAAAAAATAATTGCATGAAGCACTAAGTTCACAAATAAAGTCCTTCAAAATAGAAACGTACCCTACTCACCCTAATAGGTCATTCACTATACTCTATAACTGCTGCACCTGCTTATTAAAACAACAAAACCCAGAAAACATTAAGAACCATAGATTTTTTAAAAGAGTTAGAAAAGACTCAAAAGACATATTTGAATCTCAAACCTATTACCCACTAGTTGATGTTTACGGACAAGTTTCTTCAAAGGCATATCTCCTTAAGTGTACAATGGAGATAGAATTATCAGCCTAGAAGGACTCAAGAACTGTGTTAACTATTACCTTCTGAACCAGAGTTTCTGTCATTTTAACCCATGACTTACTTTAGTAAACATTAAGACTTCTCTATTTTGTACTAGAAAATTAAAGTAAATCCCTCCACAGATGTAATATTGAATGTGTTTTTCCAATTTTATACCATCCTATCTAAAGTTTGTCTCTCTACTCCTAATCCTCTTAAGCAGCCAAAGTGAAGGCCAACCAAAAGGTTATATACTTAGTTAACAACAAAGCCAAGAATCTACTTATTCATAAACATGCACAGAAAGTTATTTTGGAGTATTTACCTTTCTACATGCAGGACAAAGCCCATTTTCATCAGTGCGAATTCGATGCCAACAAAATCGGCAAATCTGGTAGCCACAGGTGCAAGGGAAAAAATTGATATCATCTATCTCCAAGGGCTCCATGCAAAGAGGACATTCCACAGGGTCTTCCTTCGCATCAGGACTGCGAGACATCTTCACGTTTAGTAAACAGCAGCAACAGTTTATAATAATTTAAAGGAGAAAGAAGTTCAGCACTGAGAATTAAAATGTAGAACTTCAAAGACCTGTAAGAGAAGAAACAATATATACTATTTACTACTGAAAAAATGGTATTTTCAACAATCAATAATGATTTTATAAAAAAATTGAAAAATATTAATCAGATCAATTTTTGCTATCATCTCAGATTTCAGAATGGAATCCTGAAATTTTTTGTGTGTCAAGAGAAAAGGCCTGCATTATTAACGTTTTGGACTTAATAGAAAAACAAAAGGACTTCCTTTTTTCTAGATAAAACATTTAGTACTTAGTACTAATCATAACACATTTTAGGGGAATAAGTAATATACAGAAGCATCTTCAGCCTTAAAATACACTTTGAACGGTCTTATCTTTGACTTAAAGGCTAGTAATATGTAATACTGCCACATAACTAAAAGAGTAAGATATTCTAAAATGTATCACAATATGCAAAATAAGCCTAATGAAAAAGAAAGGCTTCAATCATCTAAAATCACTTATGAATATCAAACCCTTACCAAAGAAAAAAAAAAGGCCAGAGTTTTTTTTAAAAATGCCATGTAACCTGTTTACAATTAAATATGTGCAATTTGCCAACAAAAATTTCTGGAAGAATAAGTATATATTAAACAAAACAAATTAAATTAAATAATGTATCTTTTAAAATTATGTAGAGTTGAAAAATTTTAGGTAACAATTTAGGTTAAAGTCACTGTTAAAAGATTAGGATGGAATCACTATTGTAGATTAAAAAAACGATAGCCTCCAAAATATAACAATGCAATCCTTATCAAAATAACAAAGGGTTTTTTTCTTTTTTTACATAATTTGACCAAATGATTCTAAAGTTGACATGAAAGAATAAACACATGAGAATTGTTATGAAACTTCTGGGGGGAAATGTGGGGATTTACGTTATCAGATACTGAACTGTACTACAAAGCTACCAAAATTTAAATAATTTGATAAATAATAAATAATCTACAAATATAGATAAAAGGTCAAAGAAACTAAATTTAAAAATCTAGAAAAGGAGCCATAAATTTATGAGATTTAATATTTGATAAAAGTGACATTACAAACCAATATGGCAAGGATGGACCAATTAATAAGCAGTAATAGGATACTGGTCTATCCACTTTAAGAAAAAAACAGTATATATCTATGTCACACTACCATCAAAATAAATCCCAAATGATCTGCCTAAAGAAATATACATTGAAATAAACTATTAAAGTGTTAGAAGCAAAAAGTAATAGAATTTTTCAAATCTTGGGATGCAGAAGGTCTTCTTCCTAAGCAAAAACAGAAATTCAGAAGCCCTAAGAAAAAGATATGATCAACTTAGCAACATGGAAAAAAACCCCATAAAATTAAAGACAAATAACAGAGTAAAGGATATATATACACTATATGTAATGAAGAGCTAGTGTCCAGAATAAAGAAACCTTATAAAAAGCAATTTTTAAAAGGCTAATAAGTCAAAAGAAAAAATGAGAACAAAATATGAGCAGTCCACAGAAGAATTACAAATGACTACAACACACGAAACGGTGATCAATCTGTTTAGTTTGTTTACCGGCCTGTCAAAGAAGTTCGTCTTTCTACAAAGTAGAAAGCATCACTGATCTATGTTCCAAAGGAAAGTAGACTACTAATTTATTTTTTGAAAAACCCATATTATCTGAATTGTTACAACAAACATTATTTTTGCAATTCAAATGGCCAACTTAAAGGGGGGGGATTACTTTCATCTCGGTTAGGAAAATTAAATGTGACTTTTGTTAACAGTTAGCAGAAAAATGAAATATCTTCCTATTATTTCAAAATAAGACTTTTAAAAAAGAAATAAATGGAACATGTATTTATAAACAATTCAGACATCTTGGTTTAAAGACCCAGTTTTGCCATTATCAGTTTCCTCATATATAAAATGAGGGGTCTAAAGCTGATCTAACAGCTCCTCCAACCTGAATATCCAAAACTGTACCTGTAGAAAATACATTCAAACATTGGTTCCACAAACAGGAAACTGAACTAAAATAATTAAGAGGTGTTATCTACGCTTCTCTACGCTTCTGATTATAAGATTTTATTTCCATAACTACAGCTTATTAGGGTTTTAAGTGACATAATTTATGGGATGCTGTAAAGGAAACAATATATGGGGTTTATGAACTGAAAAGCTTTATAGAAAGTAAATTCCTGTAAATTTAAAACGACATATTGAAGTTTTGCTTTTTGACTGCTCTTTTAATTTTAAAAAAGTTTGGAAGAGGATGAATCTTCTAGTTTAGAGGGGGAAAAAGATGCACTAGCAAGAAGTCCCTTAAGACGGTTAATATAAAACCAAGTACATTCTGTACACTTCTAGCACCATGGAGAGACGTCACACAAGCCAGCAGCGTAGTGACACAACTGGTAAAATGTGGGAGGGAAGTCTGATGTGGTGGAATGCCTAGTAAAAGAGCTGACTTCCGCCTCATCTCTTCCACTAAGTAGCTGTATGATTTTGGATAAGACACTCAAAAGCTTTAGGACTCAATTAACTCAACTGAAAAAAAAATAAGAGACAAAATTTAACGGAATTTCAAGTAGAGAGACATTTCCTTTATGTAACCCAACTGAACTAAGCTTTTAAAATAAACTTTTGAAATAAACTTTCTCTCCTCCAAATATCTTGGCCAGGATTTTCATTTAGTATTGGAATAATAATTTTTATTTCATAAGCCAATTAACTAAAATTAAAAATAAAACAATTAGCTGAAATAATAAGATTTATAAAGGTACAAGACACAGAAAAAAAAGATGTTTTTAAATGGTAAAAGAGAAGTCAATGACTTTCTGGATGAGGTGTGAGGTTTATAGCTCAGAAGTGATCAATTTTTGATTTGGTAATTAATTTTGCAAAAAAAATATTCATTTTCACATATGTGATCTAATCCTCATAGTGTAAAAACGTACTATCCCCTTATAAAAGATGAAACTGAGGCCAAAGGGTGACTCAGCCTTTAAGTAAGTGTTAAAGACACAAATCTAAGGATAGACAGTCAACTTAAAAACCCATGCCCTTTCCAATATGGTAAGATAGAAATTACGATAACCGAAGTCATTACTGCATATCCTTGGGTATAAAGTGCAAATGTTCAAAAAGTGAAAATGACATTACTTTTTCAAAAACTTAAATTCTACATGAAATTTCTACCGCATTACCGGAGTCTTTTTTTATTTTGGTTAATCCTCACCTGAGGATATCTTTTGCATTGATTTCTAGAAAGAAT